CTGAGCTCGTTTATAAAATGTCACTTTCCTGAGAGAGAAATTCTTCCAACAGAGAGCGTGCCAGCTCTGTGCTGGGGGACGAGAGGCGGCGGGAGCGAGCGCGCTCCTGTGGGCTGTCCGTCCTTGTCAGACGAGTCTGGAGAAGAGCGTGGGACTGGGGGCGGGAGGGGGACGCTTGCGGGGCTGCGCGGACGCAGGCTGCCATCTGCTGAGCGCCGTGCGGTGCCTGGGAACAAGGAGGCGTTCTGTAGCTCTCACCTCCCCTCTCCGCAACAAACGAAAAGAAGCCAGGAAACTGCCTTTTTAATGTGATTTCAAGTTTCTTTTTCTTTTCCTTTCTTTTTTAATTTCAAGTTTAAAAGAATTTGAACGTCTCAAATCTCTTTAAAATTAAAAATACTGAGTTATTTGGTGACAACTGTCCGTTCTTGTACAAATGAGAGGGCGCTGTCTGGTATAAACCTAGCCCCCCCTCAGAGAAGTGCTCGCATAGATGTTGTTCTCATGTCTTAGAGGCAGCCCTGGAGCTACAAGACCCTTTGAGATCAGCTCAGATCACAGCCGTCCTTCCCCACAAGCTGCCATGGCAACTGTGGTCCCCACCCGGCAGAGCGGCGGTGTCAGGGCACAGGCGGCAGCAGCAGCAGGGATGGTGGCTGGCCCCTGGTAGCAGGGTGACTGTGAATTGCTGGGGACACCCCCACAGCTTCGGCTATCCCAGAGTTATATCTGGGGAGGGATGTTCCTATCGTGTGCAGAAAGAACCAGGAAAAGACCGAAAAAAAGAGAATTGTAGACTTCAGGTGCAGATAATCTGATAAACCTATCGATCCTGTTAGTGACTGAAAGACAAATAGGCAAGAGATGAAACTGGGTACTTCTCAGTGGTGAAATCAAAAATCCTTCTTTCTTGTCCTTTCTCCCTCATATCCCAGCTATGCATGTACAGATATATCTACCCTCCCCTGCTGAGAACCAGGCGTAGGGGAACCCTGGCAGTAAAGCAGCATAGGAGGGAGGAGCGGCGTCCTCCCTGCGCTGTGTTCCCCGCGTATGCAGGAGGCTCAGGGCTGTCCCTTTGGCTCTCGCCTACCCTTGCTTTCTGTCACTGTCTCCTCCTCTGTATTTGTTCAGGACCCTCTTTGCAGAATGCCTGGGATCACAGATGTTTTTTGCCGATTCCCTGCTGCATTGGCTGCTATGAAAATAGCACTCCGTCTCAGTTGTTGGTTTGCTGGGGGAGTTAGAGACCCTAATTTAAAGCTATGGGAAAAGGCCGTCTAGTGCACTGTCTGCCTTAAAAGCCTTGCTTCCAATTTAGAAAAGAGCATGAACTAAAACCACTGAAAAGCTATCCAGAAAATACTGACCGTACATTAAGTTTTGTGATTGTTCCCACATTCCTCATAATTCTCAACCACAGCTTCATACTAGAGGCTAAATACACACAGTGGGCATTTTCCTTCTCGCTAGCAGTGGCATAGGAGGAATGCAAGCGTCTCTTTCAAGTACAAACTCAAAGTATTGACAAACAATAAGAGCAGAATTTGGGGTCCTATCACTCCCTCAAAACAAGAAATCTGTCCAGCTCCAAAGGTTTTCCCAATACCCTTTTATTCTTTTCATGAATTTATATTGTGTTCCTTCCCTCTCCTCTGTACAGGAAATGAGCCTACAGCTCTTTCACACTTACTTCATGCCTATCATGCTGCTATCTGTAAAGAAACATTTTGGACTCTTTGTACTCAGTACTTCATTTTTCAGTGGTGTCTTTTCAAGAACTGGCAGCTTTCAGTATGAATATGAGATTAACTTTAGAAATAACTATTTTCTATTGTAGGGATACTGCATCCTGGAACTGACTTGAACTCTCATGCTTTCTACAGGTTGCCACACTGCAACAGTGATATAGTTTGGTTGTTCTTGCAGGTCTTAGGCTTACGTACAGGGCAAAAGGAAATAGTTTAGTTTACAGTGAGGATACAGGATATGTGCAGCAAAATACTATGTGTAATTTCTGAATAGACCATCTCTTGTGTGGTCACTTTCAATTGCAGGGGAAAGACCTTAGATCATGCTTCAAGCCTGATATTTCTATGTTCCTGGTCTTCTGTTATTTTTAAATAATTTTTTTTTTTTAATAACAAAGGCAAGTGTTTTGCAAGGTTCACTTTTCCTGAAGAGGGAGCTTCCCTTTCTGCTCTTCAAAATGTGTCAAGTCATTCCCTCAGCAAGTTTCTGTTTCAGTTTCCATTTGCTTTTCTGTTGCTGGGTTTCTGTACAGCAGGAGAGTTTCATTTTTCAGTATCATTTTTGTTTCTTCTCCCCCTTGCCCCCCCCCCCCCACCCCACCCCAAATCTCAATTCTTTTAAATTATGTCCCTCCATGTCCCCCATGTCCCCCCATGTCCCCCAACCTAGACTAGAGAAAATAGTCATTTTACATGGCTGCCTGTTCATGACACAACCTTGTCTTTCTCCCCAAAGAGGCTAGTCGTTGCAAGTGAGCAAAGTGCAGAGCATAAAATAAAGATACCAGAATTAGGTTTAAGTGAGTAGCTACAGTACTGGCAGTAGTCTTGCTTATCAGCATGAGGCTCATTGCAGACTTTCCTCCTGGGAAACAGAGCAAAAGATGAAACAGTGCTAATATAACCTGCTTGGCATTACTTTCCTGTGAAGCTACTATGCAAATGATCCAGAAATGGGAAGTGATAGAAAGCAGGATAAGTTAACATTAGTCGTCAGAACTAAATTGCTTTTGGTCCCCAGTCCGGCTACTTCAAGCTTGGTCAAATAGTGCTATATTGTGCTGCTGACTGCGCTGTAGATGCATATAGGCATATGTACTGCTTTGAAAAGCCAACTGTACAATAGAATCAGTCCACTTACTTGGTGCATAGTGTTCTAGGAAAGTAAAAACTTAAGATGTATGCTAACCACCAGATTTTGTGGCAGTCTGGGTTCATCCTTGCAGTTGTCTCCTAAGGAGAATATGACTCATTGCTCAGGGACTTTTTTTTTTTTTTTAAACCATCCTCACTGTACTGAGGTTGGGAAATTCCAGTGTGATGAAACAGAAATTTCACGTTCTATTTATTTATCACAAGTTTAAGAGATTTTGGTGCCTCCTTTTTAATGACCTGTCTCACGCAGATCAGTTATACTAACTGGACTCACTGAAGCCCTGAGAGGTGGACAACCCTAGGTTCTAGTGGCCAGGTGCCAAATGCCTTACTCTGAGAGGTAAAGTAAAGATGGGAGCTAAGGAAAGCCAAAGCTCAAGTCATACAAATGCCAACGTACTTTTAAGCTACGTTTATGCCTTCCTGGGTGGAACATGGTATGAAGAGCAGTCTGTCAGTGAGAGCATGGAGCTTTCCTTCTTTCCATCTTGGCTGTGCTTCTACATAACTGCAACCCAGGAAATAAATATGGCACAACATACACCAGTGTTATGCCAATCTTCTGAGGGGAAACTCCCAGGCAGATATTTTATTCCTCTGTGTATGGAGTCTGGCCAAAACATGGCAATGAGCAGCATGCTGCCCCAGCATGCACGAGCTCCGTACACAGATAGCACAGGCACGAGTCACTTATGCAATGGCATCCCTTAATCGGGCTCTGTGTTAGTCCACAGGTTGCACAAGTCCAGTGCATGGATGTTAAACCATCTAGCTATAGGCGCTTGAAAGTTTTCCTTTGAAGAGCAGAACAGTGTGGGGATTTTGGCAATATAGTAGTGGCATGCTGACATATTAGACCTGTGAATCACTTTAAAAAAAAAAAAAAAAATGCAAACAGGTATGAGGCAAGAGGTTCCCAAGGGGGTTGGGATATATTTCCAAGCGCTTAGCATCTGTGTAGCATTTGTGGACTGAGGAAGGGCTGTTCAATCTAAGCTAGGCCTTGGCTTGGCCACAAAATGGGCTTTGTGGCCCTCAGAAGCTCCACAGGTAAGTCTAGGAAAGACTTGGAGTTTTTTGAAGCTTCTGTAAGTCCTACCTTTCATTTCAGGCTTACACTGAATGTAGCTAACAACCACGGCTGTGTTTCTAACTCTCTTCAAAGGCTACACACTGCCCTCACAGGCATTTTACTGCCAATAATAGCATGACCTTTAGGAGCAGTCCCCACTGCAGGCCTGGGGGGGCCAGTGTTGCCCTGAGGTTGATTTCTCAGCACCTGGCTTCCTGCCTGCACATCTGCCTTGACCTTTTCCACACTTGCAGGGGCAGATGACAGCAAGCAGGACACAACACACCAGACAGGCCTTGCTCAACTTGGGGGTGCATGCGTGTGTGTCTCGGCCAGGAACAACCTCAGGCAGGTCTCCTCAGCAAAGGCACTGGGTATGACCATGTGTCAGCGGATCCTTGACACTAACTGGAGATTCCCTCAAGGGAACAGATAGTAGAGCCAAAGAAGAAAGTTATCTAACTTCCTATGTGACCCCAAAAAAGAAATTAGATGGTAAAAAGGGGTTCTTCATCGAAATGTTTTGCGAGACTGCATGTGAAATAGTGTTTGAGCAGGGGACGGCTTCACTGGGAGGCAGGAAGGCTTTCCTGGACAGATGCGTAACAAGTAGGTTGTCTTCTTTCTTTTCAAGGCTTGCTTCTTCTGGAAGTCAGAATGTTAAAGCAGCAGACAAATGCCGTGAAGCAGCATAGTAGGTATGTATCTAATTCTGCCTCTGCACTGCAAAAGACAGGCGTACAAAAGAGCTTGACCTAGGGCAACAAATATTTCATGTGTGGGAAACACTCCCTCTCTCTGAACAGTCTTGTAAGGTCCCACAATTCTTACAGAGGAGGGAGGCTACAGAGCAGTACTACTGATTATTTGGCTTTAGGAGCCCTCTGGACTCTGTGATGAAAGAGGGAGAAATATTTTTCAGGAGAATAATTCCCATGTTGTGATTTGCTGACATGAGTAAAATAAAACCTAAAAATGGCATCTATAGGTGCATTGTAGGAATGAAAGAGAAGAGTCATTCACTATGTTGATTTTTTTATTATTGCATTTTCCTTATTATCAGTTCTTGCACTAGGAAAGCTAGTGTTGCACACTTAGGTTTGCGGACTCCACAGCTTGTGTGCAGTTTGACCTCCCAAAACCACAGTTCTGCGGCACTCAAGCTCCTGCTTTTCTGAAGAGTTTTAACATCAGAAAAGCCTTGCAATCATTGCAGAAAACAAAGGAAATAATACCTCTTATTACCTACTTAACCCTGGGGGCTTCTGCACAGAAAAATTTGTACATATATACATACACATATACATGTATACACACAGCTGTGTATACACACAGCTGTGTATACACACGTGCACACACAGACATTATATACATACACACAAAAATACTTCTATACAAGTGAGAAGTCCTACTTACAGAAGATTAGAATTATAGGTTAATACTTATATTCAGAAATCATGAGGGGCATAGTATATGTTCTAGCTTTTTTCCTAGTATGTTTCACAGACTCTTAAAACAAAAGCTTTCTCTTTGAAAAATTCAACAAGAGGGAAAAACTACGTCCTGCAATTTTAATGTAAGTAAAACATTACAGTGATACAGTATGCAGGACCATACCTTTCAACTAAACCTTTTCTTCAAATATTGATTGACTTCCTTCTTTTGATACTGAGTCCAGAGGCTGAACTCTTATATTGTAATTTTTAGTAAATGAGCCCTAAAACTTCTCCTCCCAGTTCTTAACAACCAAATTAAATGATTATGACTTTTGGAGAGGCATCTTTCCTTTAACCAAAAAAAAAAAAAAATCACAACCACTCCTTGTTTGCATTATAACCTCCTTGCATCTTACTGAGCTGCCAAAGAAAATGACAATTAAAAACTTCACTGTTTATATTATTTCTAATTAATTTTGTATTTTTGTATTAATTTTCAAACGATGTTTTGCTATGTCTCTTCCAAGCTGTTAGAATAGGTTTTACTTAGCTCAGCATTACCAAGATAAGAGTTTCCACCTTCCTGAGTGCAGGTTGTGCTTTGCTCATTATCATCATTGTAAGATTGTCCACTTTCCTGACTGCTGGGAACAGCTGCCTTCAATTTTTCTTCAATTTTATCAGCTGCAGTGCACATTTTAAGAGCTCTCAGGCTGTTGATTAGGGTTCCATAGGCTCCTTTCATCCCATGCCTTTGATACCAGACTTGAAACAGCTTAATCTTCTGTTCAGATGTATCATTACAATTATCTCGAAGAATTTGATCTATGACAGGTTCTGGTACTTGGCGATCACGAACGAATGTCTTGACATCTTGGAGTGTCATCTCCCCCACAATACCAGGAATGTGGGTGCTCAGGTCAATATCTAGAAGCATAATAGGAAAAGAAAACTCTTGGCACTGATATCTTACCACTTTCTATCACCTATGCGGAAAGTTGATCCTAAGTTTCATATATTCATGACTCAGTATGTTTCACGTGTGATTTTTACATTTATATCAGGTTCCGTATTAAGAACAGGTTTGCTTTTACATGTTGTAACCAAATGCTAGGTAAAACAAATATTCATAGTTGCATCCATATTGCTTTCTGTCACTTCAAATAGAACCTATGTTCTGTCTTAAACCTCTTTAATCCTATCTGTCATCAAAGTCTGATCATGCCTCATGCACCTGTTTTGTCCAATACAGTATTGGTAAAGGTCTTGGAACCAGGCAGGTGTGTTGTTGTGATATAGCCTTAGAGCTCATATTCTCTCCCTTATTGTTTGTTAACGCTGTGGTTTTAGCCTTGAACATAAGGTTTGTGTTTCTGCTATCCGATTGCTGGCATGTGGGACTACTCCATTATTATAATTAACCATAATTATAGAAAGCCAGCTTGCTACCTCCTAGTCTTTGTACTGCAAGAAGAACAGAAGTTTCCCTGTTGTCAGTTAGTAATTGTTTCCTACACAACAGAGAATGTGAAATTCCTCCTGAGTTAAAACTGTCATTAACATGAAACCACTAGATGCCTTAATGAGCACAGTACGAGCTGCTATTTCTTTAATAAGCCTTCTGTGTTATGCCAGAGCAACAGCTCTAGGAAATGAAAGTCTACACAAAAATATTACACACAAAAATGGTGTAAGATTTTTCATGTCTGCATTTTTTTCTTCTACTGAATTTTGAGAAATCACATGTTTCTTACCTGCAAATATGAGAGGTACCATCTCCTGAAAAGAGAAGCAGTGGAGAAGTTAACTGAAAACAGTTTTGTAAAATATCAACCTTGCATAAGAGGATAAACAGATTTCATGACATTTGCCTCTCCAATTTTATTTTAGCTTTCTCCATGATTTCCCTCTTTCCTAGCCAGGGAATCAGGTTGGACAGACCTCTCTTTATTTGACTTAGCTAGGGCAATCACCTTACAATTGCTTTGGCCTAAAAGTATGCATGGGGACAGGCATCCTCTGTCAGTAGAGGCAGTATAATTTAGAAAATTTTGATCTTGGTCACGTAACTCAGGAAGCACAACAACAAATTGTTATGTAATGTGAAAAATAATTTGAGGTGTTTACTCTTTCTCTCCTCTTATTTCTACCAAAGAAATCCCCTTGGTGAAGTCTACTGCATTCATGTAATAGAAGACAGGTATCCACGTGCTTTACAAGTCTCAGTGTAATTTAAATGGGACAAAGTTTCAGACACCAAGCTGATTTTTTTCTGACATAAGCAACGATACTTACAGAAGCAGCTCCTGGTTTGAGGACTGCTTCACCTGGGGACTGCCCGCTAGTAGGATCCTTAGATTTTCTCTTATCTGAAACAATACAACAAAACAATTTTAAAATCCAGCACAGAGTGTATTCACCTTTGGACTCCAAGAATAATAAAATTACATCTGAGAAAGCAGCTGAATATCCTTTTCAGAGTATGACAGGAACAAAGACTAGAGAATGACTTACACCAGACTATTCCTGCAGGTAGCACTAACAGTACAATTCCCAAAACAAGTCCAGCGATCCACGATAGGCTTCCTGCTTCTACTGGAACATTGGAAACATTACACAAAAGCTAAGTCAAGAAATGCAATACTGAAAACACACAGTAAACTTTAAACAAGATTGCATCAGATTATAGGAGCCTTTCTGTTCTCTCCTAATGAAGGAGGCTACTACGTTTTTAAAGGCTTATCTAGTATAAGTCACCCCTAAAAAGGGATCATGACCCCTAAATTTCCACATTGATCAAGGGAAAAGAGCAACCATGCTTTGCAGGTCAGTGCAGGGCCCAGTAGATAGGATGCCCTTAGCTGTCAGCAGTCATGATGTGTCTTCGTGTAAAACAGCACAATTGCAATCGCCTCTCCAAATACAGCAGTTGCTAGACCATGCTAGGTTTTAAAATGGTACCTTTCCTTTTGCATACAGTGTCTGAAGTTGAAGTACATTGTTTCTCAACTAGGCCACTTTCACACCTGCAGAGAACACAAACAAATATTATTGTGAGATTTGTTTAACTGTTTAGAGACTCTCTCAAGAGAACAATCAAGATCTTCTGACAGTTTTAATCAGGTGTTTAATATATCAAGATATATTACAGCTTAGTCACTTCATCAGATTGTTTTTTTAAAGGTATATGCAGAGTTGGAGGATTTATACAAGGTTTTGGTGTGCCTTTAGAAAGTGTGCACGCAAGTTAAGTTAATGGAGTTAAGCAAAGGAAAACTAGCATCTTCCTCCCCAGGTCAGACATTGCCTTAGACTCCATCTTGAAATTGGCTGGAAAAAGTGATTTAAAATTTGATATTTAACATGAATCAATGGAGGCATAAACTTACGTGCTACATGGTTCACAGTGCGTACATGGTTCAGAAGAACTGCAAAAGTAGTTCTTTGCACAAGTGCATTCTGTGTTCTGTTCTGGGGTACAATTCCTTGCAATTTCCAAACCTAAAATGAGTTCTTAAAGTTTGTTAGTTTGAAAAAGTAGGCCTTACAACTATGTCAGTCCTCTGCTCGCAAGCTCTTGTCCTCAAACCATAGTGCTTTTAGCTCTACCACTGCAGACACTGGTGAGGCTTAATTGCAGGAATTGAGATAGCTTTTCGAAGGAGCCTTGCTGTGGGCGTACTGGAAGGAGGAAGATGGCAATGAGACCTCTGCTGGCCAAAAGTTTAGAAAACTGATCAGAGCGTCTCCTTCTACTGCTAGAAGGAGACTCATTTATGGCACTGCCAAACGTTGTCAGTTTCTTTTTCCCATTCAGACATGTAAAGCCAGAAGGGACCTCAGAAGATCATGGAACCCATCACCCTGCTTTATGGCAGAGTCAAGTTCTTTACTATCCTAGACAGATGATCAGTTTTTATCTCTTCCTGTGTACTGACAACAGCGAGGAATTCTACTCTTTGTAGCTAACATGTTCCCCTGCTTAAATTTCAGAACAAGTGAATTAATTTTCTCCTACCCTCAATGTATATAAAGAAAAACTGATCTCCAATCCATCTATGAAAAAGTCTGTCTTCATAAAAAATTACTATAAGTAGATCTAATGTAAAAACTCTTTTCATAGGAACATAGGAATAGAAGGGAATTTGAATTATCACATTCAGTCCCCTGCTTTAACAGAAAACCATGTGATCTCATAATCTGATGAAGCTCTATCATGAAGAATCATGGAACTCCAGTGGTAATTTCCCTCCTGCCTAATATTATCAATTATCTGACTTCTCTTCAACTCCGTTATTATCCATGGGATACTTTGAGCAGTCATCCCATTACCCTTTCTTTCCCATCCAGTTTAACTAATAGTTTCCTTTCTGGCAGTATACAAAATACCAAATTTTGCTGTAGTCATTTTCATTACCCATCTAAAAATGCTTTCTATAGTAGCTAATGAGAAGGGACTTTTATATGCATATGGTGTTACAGGGAGGGGAAGCATTAAAAAAAAAAATCAGTACTCCAACAGATGGTCAGAGTGCAACCACACTGGAGATATGAATTGTCTCTCTGCTCACCAAACAGGATTTTGGATATGATGACTGCAGAACTGTCATTCCTTAACTCTAGCTATGCTGCAATTAGAGGCCCCTTGGCAGAACCAGTAGGAGACTAGTTTAACAGATTAAAAAAAAAAAAAAAATCTACGATGGGTATTTATGTAAGGGGTAGTGAATTTCTGGAATTTAATTCCCCCCAGCAGGTTCACACACAACAGGCTCATAAACGGATACTAAAAGGACTAGATAAGGATGTACTTTCTGACATCTCTAACCACAACTGTGGATGCTGGGAGACTATGCAGGGACCAGACCAAAGAAGGCAGTGAGGTTTGCGTGCTCTCTATATATAGCGTCTCTTACCTCCACTGCTGAACGCAGAACATGGGAGTAGGCAGACCACTGGTCTGACCCAGTAGGGCATGTCTTATAGTCTCATGAATTGGTACTATACCCCATGTAGCATCTTGAATGTATGACAAACATTGTTATAGGAGCTCCAGTAATTTCAGATGATTAATTACATAAAAGACGACAAAAGAAATCACAGTGAGTTATCCCTTCTCTGCTTCTCCCAATGCTTCTTTTAAATAGAGAACAGAGAGTGCGCTTTCCTACCTTGCCTCTGACCAGATTGAGTAGGACCTACTTTACAAGGAGAAAATCCTAGGCTCAACACTGAGTGCCTTTTGGAAAACAAAGCTGTTTCATTTATTCTAGTTCACATCTCTAGCATAACTTTGAAAACTAGCTACTAAGAGACAACCTTTTTGGAGAAGTATTATCTTTTGTTAGACCAACTGCTGTACTAGGTGGGAAGATAAAGGGAAAATGGAAGCTTTTGGGAACATAAGACTGCCGCAAGTTTAGGAGCCATGAACTTCCTCAGGCGTGATGAAAGAAATAAGGTGCAGAAGCCTGTCAGTTTTTTCTAAATGTATTACAGCTGGCTTACTCAAAGATGTACTACTTTTCATCCTGCCTACAAGCGTGCTACCATATGCCATATAAAAGCATGATCTGCAGGTTGCTTTTTTTTTTTTAAATCATAAAATATTAAAGTGTTGTTAAAGTAATTTAACAGGACTATATCATAACTTAAGGCTGAGGCCTGTGCAGAAGCCTTAAGTGCTGTAAGGTCTACTAGTAACACCAGAACTTCCCAGTACAAGTGGGTTACCCGTCTCTGTGGGAAGTAAGGAAAGGTACTGCAGAGGCAAGCAATGTTACTCTACAAACGCTCCTGGCTGAGCAAAGGCAGGCATAAGCAGAAATAAAGGACCAATATAGCTTGTTCTTCCTTCTACTTTGTGCTCAACAAAAGGGAATTAGAGGATAAAAAGACGACTTTGTCATAAATTCCTTTTCGTCCTATTCCTAGAACATATTACCCTGCATATTACCCTTTACTCAAGGTTTTCTGAGAATTTTCAGTCTAATCCTATATCAAACAAGGGTCATTGCTTGATTTGCTATTTCTATAGACGTACCAAACTTTTCATCACACAAAATGCATCTCCAGCACTCGTCCAAGTCGTTGGTATGATCGATGTACTCTCCAGCCTCACATTGAACACAGTGTTCTCTAATGTCCGTTGGGCAAGTAATATTTTTAACAAAGCCTGGAGAGAGAGACACACAGAGAAACAAGAATAAGATTTGTAATACCTTCGGCCAGAAGCCATCAGCTCCAAGATCTACTTCAATCTTTCTTTTTAGCATGTAATATCTTTTGAGTTACAAATACTGGCAGAATTCATATTCTTTATGCATAAATATAGGATCTTCAGCAATGTAGCATACATCTATCCCTCCCTCCTCCTCTAATTTAGAACTGAAGAACAGTTTAGGACAGGAAACAAAACTTTGCACGAAAAATGTGAAAACCCATGCATATATGGAGAATCTTGTAGGCAAAAACCCATGTTAGCACTTTCCTAACCTCTTTCAAAACTGCGTATTTAACTGTTAGCTCTTTTGTGACAAGCATGTTATGTATGAACTCCATGGACTCTATCTGTATGAAATCCATGAAACGTTATTGGTGTCCTGAGCTCAAGAAATACTTTGGAAGCATCTGAGTTTCTGTAATGAGGAGGGGGGGAAAACTAGAATGAAGCACTGTATCCAAGAAAAAGCACACCACTTAGTTACCCCAGCTGAAGGTAATCGTGCATGTTGTGCTTTCCACTCTTAATCACTTTTCAATACAGTCTTATTATGATACTCACCACGTTCACATTTCTTGCAACATTTACCATCTAAATTGTACTCAGCTACTGCACACTTAATTTCCCTTCTAGCAATGATCCTCCTTGCAATAAGTTTATTATATGTTGTGTGTATTGCAGCTTCAGTATCACTTTTGCACTGTGATTCAATAATTAAGCCAACCACCTAGAAGAGAAGAACAGCAAATTATGGAAGAAATTGTCAGAGACTGGAGGTGCATTTTGCTACTAGCACAGAGCTACATCAGTACCGTTATTCCATTGCTAAAGATGTCCATATTCACTCCCTTACTGAAGTTGTTCACTGTGTTAGAAGAGTTAATGGATAATGAGAATACATGTTAGATTTAAAGCCATCGCTGCTACTGTTGTAGGTATTGATCATTTGGAAATTAATAGTTAAGAACAGGCCCATACATCCGAGTTTTAACAATGACCTCTCATATAAGCTAAAGGAACTCCAGTTGTTTCTTGTACTCCTTTTTCTGCCTCAGATTACTGTACCTAAACCTGCACTTTCTTAGCACTTTCTTTTCAATTCAGTTATTTTTCTCCTCCTACTCTATTTTGGGGGGATTTTTCCTCAAGTTAAATTGCATGGTCCTTCTTTCTTTTTTTTCTCTGCTTCTAGTCAGTAGTAACTTTACCAGCCATCACTGTCCTGTCCCTTTTCACAATAATAAGAAAGCACAGTGGAACAAATAGAGACCAAACCATTCTTTCCTTCTGTTTTGGAAGTAAAAAGGGAAGAAGAGCAGGATAGGTATAATTTGCCTTATTCTTTACAATGGTTTCTGGGGAAATCTGTACCTCCTTGGCATGCACCAAGTATGACATGTCTCCTGTCTCTATAATCGAGCTATGTAATGAACTGACAGCTTTTTTGCTGAACTAGGGCCCCTCCTTGAAATATTATTACGCAGGAGAGCTAAAAAACAGCCTGCCTTTACTTAACCCAGTTTCTGCTGATAGTTGAAAGTGATTTGCGCATTTTGACTCTTTATTTTACTTATGTAATACTATTTGTACGGAGCAACAATGGGAGAAAAGGAACACAGTCTTTGGTCTTGAAGAGCTTACAGTCTAAAATCTAAGCTAAACTCTACATTCATTGTTCTTGCTCCTCTTTAATCAAAAAAAATTACATTTTGTATTTAACAGAAGACCCAAAGACACAGATTATGATATCAGGGAAGTAGAAAAATGCGTGGGAAGAAAGGAACCAATGACATTGTCCTTGGGAAGACAAAGAACAGGTAGGTTATGAAGAAGAAGGATGGAAGTTATCTTTTTCCAAAAGGGGATTACCGGAGAATAAGGCGCAAGACAAAGAAATTGCAGAATCCTCATCCCAATAGCACAGTCGATGGAATGTAAAAGTTCTGCCAGGCACAGATCTGCTCATATTTTAAATCAGCAGGCAAAAAGTCTTAATCTAAATAATTGACTTTTAATCTCATCATGGATATTTAAGAGAGGTTAATTCTGAATGGTTGGTTATCATTCAGCAATTGCAGCCTAATGCAAATGTGTACCATATCTGTTAATGCTAAGAGCAAAGGATATGCTATATACCTATTTAAGCAGCTCTTAATAATCTGAATACTGGCTTTTTCATTATTTTACATTTTTTTCCTGCCTAGCTCAATCATTTCATCTTCCTGAGTTTGTGTGAAATTGTTTGATGCCAATCACAACTTCAGTTAGATGCAGAAAGACTCTTTAATTAGCTCAACTATTTATTGAAGCATGGATTTGAGTCTGAAACTGGCATCTCAAGTGAAGAAAGTGTTATTTGTGGCTAATGCATTGAAATAATCAACATGCCCACTGCCTGGTGACTTCTATATATAGTCACTTCTTTTCATCCTCTAGTCTATTCAGAGCTGGGAGAACAAAAAATATTTTTGTTAACACCTATCTGTTTTAAAATTTATACAATATCAGCTACAAGACTGAAGTTAAGGGGACCATGCTTTGCATCTGGAGAAAAGGTTCAGCTGCCAAAAAACCTGGTTAGCACTTGAGCAAACTGAGTCCAGGTGCTCAGCCCATCAGTTCCCCTATTCAGTAGTTTGACTCTTTGCCGCCAACGCTTTGAGGGTGCGCTTCTGCGTACCTGTCTGCGACGACGTTAACAGCTTAAGTTAACACAGACCTTAACAGAAATTGTCAAATCAATAGCTCAAATTAACGTGATTTTTCTTTCTTTTGACTGGGATGACTGATTAAAAACTAGGATTAAAAAGTCTGATGCAAAATAATTATTAAGCAGTCGACGTTTATCCATGCGGTGTGCAGTCTCCTGCTTTCCGACAGGAAGCGATGGCACTCGCCGCCCCACCGCTCGGCTTCCTGGCGTCGCCCTCGCCGAGCACCGAGCTCTGCGGGGGACGCTCGCTGCCGCTGGCAAATCGCTGGGCACTGCCGCCCTGCGCCGACGATTGCTGAGAGGGCCCCCGCCCCCCCACCGCTCGGCTTCCTGGCGTCGCCCTCGCCGAGCACCGAGCTCTGCGGGGGACGCTCGCTGCCGCTGGCAAATCGCTGGGCAATGCCGCCCTGCGCCGACGATGGCTGCCGAGCCGCCTCTCCGTTGGCTCTATCTTTAGCAGCGCACCAGCTGCGGAGGCGGCAACCAGCATTATCTGCCCTCATCAGAAAACACGAGGGAGGCCCGAAGGGTTTCCACCCTTTACACAGGCCCAGACACGTGGAGCGCGGGGACCAGCGAGGTCATGCCGTGAGGCAGCCAACGTGGAAACGAGCGTTTCTGTCTCCCCCTCAGATCGAGGAGCTCGGAGAGGAACGGTGACACAACACGAGTGGCGCGGTGTCCCGAAAGGTGACCGTGATGGCAGCGCAGTCCCCTTCCTGCGCTCCTGCTTAAAAGCACGGCCCAAAACCCTGAAAAGCCAACCTGCGTCTCGGCAACGTTCACACCTCCGTTGCGCCTGGCCTGACTCTCTCCTCCTTTTGTGCCCTAACACCAGGGCCTGGTACAGCCCCGTGCCCTCAGGGAGCCGTCGTCCGTCTGTCCTGCCTTATGAGCCCATCTCTCCTGTTCTAGACCCAGAAAGTCAGCTCAGCAGTTGCCATTTGCTGGGGGCAGAACCTGGGAAACAGCAGCGTGAAGAAAGGGAGAGGGTAGATAACCACTGCTCCAACCCCCCGAACGCACCTACAAACAGCACCTGGGCACAGCATAGATGCTGAATGATGTCGGAGAAGCGCAGAACAGAGAAGCATGTAGGAAACGCGACAAAACGAAAGAGGGAAACATCTTTCTAAATGACCAACATCAGTAAAACTGCTTTGGTTTACTGAACTACTGCAATTGTACCGCGTGCACAGAGAGAGTCTTCCTTCAAGCAAGCAAATGTCCACGCCTCTTACTTATACTTTCATTGCAGCAGGCCAGAGAGGGACAGAAACATAAAATTTTACGATGGAAGCTTTTCACTGTCATCCACAGAGATGAACTTCCTGATACAGTTACAAGAAGCGTGGAACACTTCTCAGAATTTGTCTTTTGAGTAGCACCAAACACCTACATAGCTTCTGCTTGCAGGGACTTCATACAGCGCCTTGCAAATCAGGAACCTTTGGAGAGCTTAGCTTTCAAAGCAACATCCTAATTTTTCAAACTTTTATTTTTATTTTTTTTTTACCTCCTGGATTTGCCCCCTCTTAAAAGCAACCTATTCGCTACATAAAGTGTTTGTTATTGGAAAAAAAGTCATCAAGCATTTAGTTTCCTGGGCGCTCCTTAATACCTCTCCTTGTTCTCACAGCAATAGTGCTAACGGAGAGAAAAAACATTAAGGGGTTTTACAGAGGCAGGGTTAATAGGTGCTTTTTTACGATGTGTATGCTCAAACAGAAGATGCTGTATGTTTTCCAGTCTAAAATGACTCATAGTGGCTCTGTTCTAACTGTCTTACAGAATCACAGAATCAGTGATTCAGAATCACAGTCTTATCCTAATCTAAAAAGTAGCTGTCATATCTAAACTAAAGATTAAACTGAGCAATAGAAGTAAAATCAAGTAAAATCAAGTAAAATCAATCAACGATATCTAGCCTTAGCAGAATCCATAAAACCAATCTCATGGGCTCAGATTTTCTGGTTTGGCTCCTTTTGCGTTGCCCAGGCAGTTCAGAGACGGTTCTGCCTTCTCCCTCTCCCCTTCATTCCTGCAGTCTCCCAAAACGCATTCAGCAACAGGCATCAGCTAAGGAAACTCTGAAAACCTGCTTTCATCTGTGTTTCTAGGGCAGAGTGACAGGAGCTCTAGTTTCCTTGAAAACTTATGTGATTTGTGGATTCTCAGGCATCAGATTCTTCCCCTGAGTGTTCTTTGTGATGGGTAAATTTCCTTGAAGTGAAAAGTTTCAGCAGATCGACCTTACAGGGACCTGATCTAGGCTTTCAAAGTGTGTACATCTGCAGGCAGGCCTTGTAAAGCTTTACGATTTTTCACCCTCTAAGTAAAAAATAAGTGTCTGCTCCTCCTGTCACTTTTATAACAATTTTATTTTTTAGTAAGCCTCTTACGCCATTTCAAATGCTTAATGTTGATGCTTTCAGAGCTTGGTGGTTTTTTTTTTTCCTCTCCACATTTGTTACATGGGACAACATGCATGAGGTCATCAGGGGCTTTTAGTGTTTAAAAAAAGGGGGGAGGGGAATTTTTCTTACTTTGTTACCTAGTGGGAGCTAAAAAAAAAAAAAGTTGAATTTATTATCTAATTTTTATCTGCATCTGGTATTTCTTTGACAAATGATTGCTAATGTTAGCTTCATTTTAATACACAGTTTTTCACATAATCAGTCTTCCCTGTGTTACCCCTTTCAAGATGGCTTTTTCAAAGAGTAGTAATTTTATGCTGCTTGTTAAGAGGATTCTGTACTCCAGTTCCTTTACTATAGTAAGTAATTTCTACTCTAGTCTCCAGTATCACTTTTTTCTCCATCTCCTTTTCTTCCCACCAAGGTGGAAGCTGATAGCACCAAAATAACCACTAAAAATATTTCTTCATGTTCCAAAATGTTTTATGATAAGCAGGACAAAGAACCACATTCATCTTCTGAAACCTGGGGATGGGAGTTCATATTTCTCCACAATTAGAAGTACGCTGAACTTCTAAGACTTCAAGCAAGATGCATCTGTGGAGCGCCCGTGAGAATACGGAGCCTCAGTTACAGCCCAGCATATTAAAATAGTCGTTGTCCAAACTTGAGCCATTACTATTTCTCATCTCAGTCGTCTCACACGAAAATCACAAATCACAGTGCAATACATTTTGGGTGTGTGGATAATGGTTGGTTATTTTGTTTTGGTTTTTTAGAAGCACTGTACTAATGCACACCTAAAACAACACCATGTTTAGGAGATATCCAGCAGTATTAACAGCTCCCATCTCACTTGGGCTATGTTGTGCCTAAGGATGAATACGAAAAGCTGGAGAGGGTAGAAATTTGGGAACTTTTCTCCCTTCTCCTTGTGTAACGCAATACCCTTTGCTTTTTGATGTTTTCTTGTTGAGTTGCCTCAAAGATAAAGGCAGTTAACTACAGAAACATGAGCAGACAAACATTGCCAGAATTGGGGTCCTTGACACTTGGGTCATCCCATGACTTTGTTGCTACTTGTTTGTATATATTTAAATATGTGCATTAGTCCTACAGGAAATAAAAATGGTCTGCACGGTAACGTAGGAGTCCTCTTTTCAAAAGCGCATCTTCTACTGCCTACTCTGTAAGCAATCATATCTGATGATTATGAAATATTTAGATAACATTTCTCTTTCTCTTAAGATGGCCTATTATTCTACAGTGTGTCTCTGAAAAGTATGCGGTTTTGTGGCTTGTTTTACCGGATAAAGTTAGAAATTTTCTAATTATGTAGGCCATTGCTATTTTGCAACTGCTCCCACTTTAGTGCAACATGGAATTGCTTGCAAAATTGAAGTGTAATTCAACAAACTACTTTCATATGCTGGTTTAATCACATTAATAAGTCAAATGCTGTCCCCGTTTACCGATTTATAAGTAGTGGGGTAATATACTAATAAACACCCAGAATTTGTTTTAATAAAAAGCGTGCAGGAGCGCTAGTCTTCCTAAGGGGGGCTGCAATTCGACAGCTCCATGAAAAGTAAGACTAGGAATGATCCTTATACTCTGGGAGCAAGTGTGAGGAGAAGAAGTATTGTTTATCCGAATTTATCTTCGAAATGGATCTAAGATGCAGACCTAGACTGACTTTTCAGCCAGTTGTGTGCAGTTGACTTTTCTCCCTGTATAGGAACAGATACTATATACTTCTATCAGCAGTTGAAAATCTTCCTTTGTATTTAAATATATTTGATGCTCCGCGTAGGGGCATGGATGTAACCTTCTAACTCCCTTTACATAAAATAGTTTACTACCTGTTATGCAATAAACGAGATCAGGCTTTGAACGGTTTCTACCTTAACACCAGATTTTGGCCTGCCAATACTCAGAACGAACTACATCCACTAGCCACAGCGGGAAGACGTTTTGAGCATGAATTCCAGCGACGTCCCCCTGCCATGGGTGAGAACTGTGGCTGAGGAAGCAATTCAC